CTACAGTCCAATCACCTCTTCAAAGCCCCACTTTTCAAATACCATAATAGGATTTCCCATCCTCTTTACACTGTCACAGTGGGAACTAAGTTTTGGGGGGACATCATCCACAAATACAAAATTGAGTGACAACGATAATCTAAGTTTTCTTATTTCCTGGCTTTTTCTTCCTTTCTTGTTTTCATCTTTGAGAACTTAAAATTTTTCTTTACTTACAAATAACCATTTAAATGAAGACGATTTATTATTATCATCTTATTATCTTGTGGAAAAATGTAAAATAAGATTAAAGGAATGAAAAAGTATAAATTTACAAGGATAGAGACTAGAAGAGAAAATGCCAGGAACAGCAGACAAGATAAGTCAACAAATTTTTAGCAAATGAAAAACAGATGGAGAATTTAGAACTAAGAAAGCTGAATACTGAGCAACTGCAGAGAATTCCAATAAAAGAAAAGCCAATTCACATAGCAAAAATCAGAAAGGATGAGGAATCTGAGACACCAGATACCATAACAGGCACAATGAAGCATGAAACTGAAAACAGGAGAATTGATTAAATTTCTGTAAAAGAAGTAGTCACCCAGATTCCCTCTCCTATCCTCCCCAGCCAGGTGACTACTCTTTCCCAATCCCAGCAGGAGAGGAAGGTTATTTGGTGGGAAGAAAAATGAATCTATGAAGAACAAGTTTCAAATGCACAGTATTTTTTTTTTTTTTTTTTTTTTTTTTTTCCAGAGAGATGCCAAACTAAAAGTTAAAGAGATTAAGTAAAGTCTACAATGTAATGGTAAAGGCCTAGCCCTGTGTGCTTGGATCTAAGAATTCTGAGGCTAAATATACATGCTAGGAAGGAAATTAGAGGATTCTTCTCTGCAAAAATTGAACAGTGTCTATTAATAAAAAAGTATTTAAGGGTTTCCTGAAGAAAAGGCCAGGCCCCACCCAATCATCCTATATCAAGCCCACCAGCTCACAAGCCCAAACCTTAAACACAGTAAACTTTTTTCCATAAATGTTTCTTCTGTTAACTTTTTAGTGAATATACAACAAAAGATAACCAAACATGTACTGAAAGCCTTCATCATAAAAGGCAGATATCAAAATAGAAAGAAAAGGGGCCGGCCCGGTGGCGCACTGGATAAGTGCGCCGCTTGGGAAGCGCGGCAGCGCTCNATAGAAAGAAAAAAAGCAACTCATAGTAAACAAGGAATATAAGGAAAAAAAAAATTCAAGAAC